CCCCAAAACCCCAAAACCCCAAAACCCCAAAACCCCAAAATATTTATAATAGATGAACGAGAAAATGAAGAAAAGAGATCAAAAAGCTTTAGAAAAGCAAGATGAAGTCCTTGACTTGAACGGAATTGGAGATGACCCTGAATTAGAACCAGGAGGTAAGTTCTGCAGGCAGATTAACAACTTTCTGAATTAGAATTTCTGATAATTTATTAGAAACTAAAAAAACAGGGAAGTGGAGTAAAGAAGAGGATGACCTTCTCCAAAAAATTATACAAGAAAATGGAGCTAAATAATTGGAGGAAAGTTGCAAAGAGTATTAACGGAAGGACTAGTATTCAATGTCTACATAGATGGACTAAGGTAACCAGAATTTTACTAGATAATCTCAATAAAATATTTTTACTATAGATCCTCAAACCTGGGCTTGCGAAAGGACCTTGGAGCAAAGAAGAAGATTTATTGCTTAAAAACTTTGTAAAAGAAAATGGAATAAAGAGCTGGTTCAAAGCTACATCAATCATTGAAGGGAGAAGTACTAAGCAGATCAGAGAAAGATGGATAAATGTTCTGGATCCTAATCTGAAGAAATCAAAATGGAGTTTAGAGGAGGAGAAGATACTCTTTGAATTATTTCTAAAATTTGGATCAAAATGGGCCAAGCTCAGAAAATTCTTTCAAGGAAGAACAGAAAATCAATTGAAGAATAGATTCTACTCCACTTTAAGAAAAGCCAGAAATAATCGTAGATAGAGGTTTTAATTTTATAGTTGAACCTGAAGCCACCACGAAAATAAAATAACAGTGAATTATTGAGATATGTTCCGAATGTTGTTGAAAATTTAAAAGCAAATGTAGACAATCTTCCTTCACATCTCACAATAGAAAGTGATGTAATTCTTTACTCTGAACAACTCCTCGAAGAATCAAAAGAGGAATCCAAAGAAGAAGAGAAAGTCCCAGAAATCGAAAAACCAAACCCCCTCAATCCTCACCAACCTCCAAACCTCCGCTTAGCCAACTCCGGCTGCTTCTACCTCTCCAAACCCCCCTCCAAATCCCCCACCTCCAGTACCAAAACCTACAATCTCCTCCCCTTCAACCCCAAATCCTCCACCTTCCCCTCCAACTGCTGGTCCCCTACAAAACCCTTATCCCCCACAAAGTATCCTTCCTCTAACTCTAGCTCCCCTACTCCTCCCTCCCAACCAGGAATCCACCATTCCTCGTTCAGCGTCCAGAACAAAGATTGTGACTTGACTCTAAATTTTAGCTGTAATTTAAGTGTGATTTTGTAGTGAAGGTTAGGAATGGACATGATTTGAGTGAGAAGGAAATTGAGGTAGTGGTTATGGTGATGGGGTTTAGGTGTTGAAGTATGAAGAGATGTTGGCCAAAGCGAAGGAGTTTAGTGAGAAGATAAATGAAGTTTTGGGGCAGAAATAATGTCAATGAGGTAGTGTGTTAGGGGTTTTGGGGTTTTGGGGTTTTGGGGGG